CGCATCAGGACTGCCTCCACCAAGAAAGAAAGAAGGGTGATTGTTGTGGGAGACTCTATCCTTAGGGGGACAGAGGGCCCTATTTGTCGGCCTGACCCTACCCGTAGGGAAGTCTGCTGCCTCCCTGGGGCCAGGGTCAGGGACGTTGCCAGGAAGCTCCCCAACCTGGTACGCCCCTCTGATTATTATCCTCTCCTGATAGTCCAGGCGGGCAGTGACGACATTGATGACAGAAGCCTGAAGGCTATCAAAAGAGACTTTAGGGGGCTGGGACGGTTAGTGGACGGAGCAGGAGTGCAGGTAGTATTTTCGTCCATCCCTACGTTGACAGGGAGGGGTACGGAGAGGACAAGGAAAGCCCACCTGTTAAACACGTGGCTCCGGGGCTGGTGCCTACGCAGAGATCTTGGGTTTTTCGACCATGGGGCAGTTTACTCAGCACCTGGTCTGATGGCCGTAGACGGGTCCCTATCCTTTAGGGGAAAAAGGATCCTGGGCCAGGAGCTGGTGGGGCTCATTGATAGGGCTTTAAACTAGGTAAGAAGGGGGATGGGGCTGAAGCAAGGACTGTTGGGGCTGTGCCAGGGGGAGCAATGGCAAGGCCGGAGGATAAGGTAAAGGCCCAGCTGAAGTGCATCTACACCAATGCACGCAGCATGGGTAACAAACAGGAGGAGCTGGAAGCCATCGTGCAGCGGGCAGGCTACGACTTGGTTGCCATCACGGAAACGTGGTGGGACCAGTCTCATGACTGGAGTGCTGCGATGCCTGGCTATAAGCTCTTCAGAAGGGACAGGCAGCACAGAAGGGGTGGCGGTGTGGCTCTCTATATTAGAGAGTCTTTCGATGTTGTAGAACTCGAGGCTAGGAATGACAAGATCGAGTCCCTTTGGGTTAGGATCGGCAGGGACAACAAGGCTAGTGTCCTGGTCGGGGTCTGCTATAGACCGCCGAACCAGGATGAGGAGACGGATGAGGAGTTCTACAGGCAGCTGACAGAAGTTGCGAAATCGTCGGCGCTTGTACTCGTGGGGGACTTCAACTTCCCTGACATATCCTGGAAGCACAACACAGCCCAGAGAAAGCAGTCTAGGAGGTTTCTGGAGAAAGTGGAAGATAGCTTCCTGACGCAGCTGATTAGTGAACCTACCAGGGGTGGTGCCCTGCTAGACCTTCTCTTCACAAACAGAGAAGGACTGGTGGAGGATGTGATTGTCGGGAACAGTCTTGGGCAGAGTGACCACGAAATGGTGGAGTTCACTATTCTTGGCGGGGCCAGGAAGGGAACCAGTAAAACCACTGTATTGGACTTTCGGAGGGCTGACTTTGGGCTGCTCAGGACACTAGTTGGTGGAGTCCCATGGGAGGCGGTTCTGAAGGGCAGAGGGGTCCAGAAAGGCTGGGCGCTCTTTAAGAGGCAAATCCTAATGGCACAGGAGCGGTCTATTCCCATGCGCCCAAAGATGAGCCAGCGGGGAAGAAGACCAGCCTGGCTCAACAGAGAATTGTGGCTTGAGCTTAGGAGAAAAAAGAGGGTTTATAATCTTTGGAAAATTGGGCAGGCCACTAAGGAGGACTATAAGGATGTAGTGAGGCTGTGCAGGGACAAGATTAGGAAGGCCAAAGCTCATCTGGAGCTCAATCTGGCTACTGCTAAAGATAACAAAAAACGCTTTTATAAATACATCAACACAAAAAGGAGGACTAGGGAGAATCTCCATCCTTTACTGGATGCAGGGGGAAACTTAGTTACAAGAGATGAGGAAAAGGCGGAGGTGCTTAATGCCTTCTTTGCCTCAGTCTTTAGCGGCAAAACCGGTTGCTCTCTGGATACCCAGTACCCAGAACTGGTGGAAGGGGATGGGGAGCAGGATGTGGCCCTCACCATCCACGAAGAACTGGTTGGTGACCTGCTACGGCACTTGGATGTGCACAAATCGATGGGGCCGGACGGGATCCACCCAAGGGTACTGAGAGAACTGGCAGAGGAGTTGGCCAAGCCCCTATCCATCATTTATCAGCAGTCCTGGCTATCGGGGGAGGTCCCAGCTGACTGGCGGCTAGCAAACGTGATGCCCATCTACAAGAAGGGCCGGAGGGCAGACCCGGGGAACTACAGGCCTGTCAGTTTGACCTCAGTACCAGGGAAGCTCATGGAGCAGATCCTCTTGGGAGTCATCATGCGGCACTTGAAGGGCAAGCAGGCGATCAGGCCCAGTCAGCATGGGTTTATGGAAGGCAGGTCCTGCTTGATGAACCTGATCTCCTTCTACGACAAAGTGACGCGCTGGGTGGACGAGGGAAAGGCTGTGGATGTGGTCTACCTTGACTTCAGCAAGGCTTTTGACACCGTCTCCCACAGCATTCTCCTCAAGAAACTGGCTGCTCTTGGCTTGGACTGGCGCACGCTTCGTTGGGTTAGAAACTGGCTGGATAGCCGGGCCCAAAGAGTTGTGGTAAATGGAGTCAAGTCCAGTTGGAGGCCAGTCACTAGTGGCGTCCCCCAGGGCTCGGTGCTGGGGCCGGTCCTCTTTAACATCTTCATCAATGATCTGGATGAGGGCATTGAGTGCACCCTCAGTAAGTTTGCAGATGACACCAAGTTAGGTGCGTGTGTCGATCTGCTCGAGGGTAGGAAGGCTCTGCAGGAGGATCTGGATAGGCTGCACCGATGGGCTGAGGTCAACTGTATGAAGTTCAACAAGGCCAAGTGCCGGGTCCTGCACCTGGGGCGCAATAACCCCAAGCAGAGCTACAGGCTGGGAGAGGAATGGTTGGAGAGCTGCCAGGCAGAGAAGGACCTGGGAGTGATGGTGGACAGTCGGCTGAATATGAGCCAGCAGTGTGCTCAGGTGGCCAAGAAGGCCAACGGCATCCTGGCTTGTATCAGAAACAGTGTGACCAGCAGGGCTAGGGAGGTGATCGTCCCCCTGTACTCGGCTCTGGTGAGGCCGCACCTCGAGTACTGTGTTCAGTTTTGGGCCCCTCGCTACAAGAAGGACATCGAGGTGCTTGAGCGGGTCCAAAGAAGGGCGACGAAGCTGGTGAGGGGCCTGGAGAGCAAGTCCTATGAGGAGCGGCTGAAGGAGCTGGGCTTGTTCAGCCTAGAGAAGAGGAGGCTCAGGGGTGACCTTATTGCTCTGTATAAGTACATTAAAGGAGGCTGTAGCGAGGTGGGGGTTGGCCTGTTCTCCCATGTGCCTGGTGACAGGACGAGGGGGAATGGGCTAAAGTTACGCCAGGGGAGTTTTAGGTTAGATGTTAGGAAGAATTTCTTTACTGAAAGGGTTGTTAGGCACTGGAACGGGCTGCCCAGGGAGGTGGTGGAGTCACCATCCCTGGAAGTCTTCAAAAGACGTTTAGATGTAGAACTTAGGGATATGGTTTAGTGGGTACTGTTAGTATTAGGTTAGAGGTTGGACTCGATGATCTTGAGGTCTCTTCCAACCTAGAGATTCTGTGTGATTCTGTGTCTGTGTAATGTGCTGGGGTCTGGCCCATGCCTATCGAGCTGCAACTGATGCTACTGTCAACCGAGCGACAGACCCTGCGGCCACTCCAAGTCCTGTGACAGACCCAACAGCTGCTCCAGTTCCAGCTCTTGAAGCCGCTCCAGCTCCTGTGGCTGGGTCAGCGAAACAAGTTGTAGCAGTGGGATTATCATTTGGTTAACTGGGTTTGACTGGGCTTTTCCTGCAGCCAAACACCTTATGGTTAATTCTGGGTGGCACCACAGAACCAGAGCCTCCCTGAGGAGCCCCCAGCCCCTCTGGGCAGCCTGGGCCAGGTCTGCGACATCCACCCAGCACAGAAGTGTGGCCTGGCAGGCAGGGTGAGCCGCCAGGGCTCTGCTACGGGTCCAAGGCATTTGGGCCTGGCCCTGGGCACTGCCACAAAGAGCCTGGACACCACTGAAACGAGCCTGGAGATCTTTGAGGTCAAGCAGTTTGAAATTATACTGAGGCTTTTTCATTACTGGGGCTGCAGTCTGAGGCCTTCTCACCTCTTTGATCGCTTCTTGTTCACTGATTGCACAGGAGGAGCTTAATCTCTCTGAGATCTGGTCCTCTGAAAATTCACTTGCTATTGGCCAATGGGTACCAAAGCTAATGGGAAAAGGAAGGGAGGGAGCAGACACAGCCCAGTCGCATCAGCTGTACTAGGTTAGGAAACAAGGCTAAAATTAGCACAATACTCAGACCATTTCCAAATGTTGTACTACCACAGCAGGCTAAACCTTGGGGTATTTTGAAGAATTTAAGCTGCACTGCAAAAACATGCAAATACAATTACCCTGAAAAACGAAACCATCTCTGCAGAGCACAAGCACCCAAAGTACCGATTTCCCATGAGCATAGCTTCATTAAGTGTCATGAGCTCTAGTACTGCCCATGCCCATAGGCAGAGCTGTGCACTTCTGCGTGGCGTCCTCACAGCACACCACTGCTCCTCCTCATCCCTCTGTCCTCCAGAACAGACAACCTGGGTGTGAGAGATGGGTTAACAGCATGGGAACACAGCTCCTAACCCAAGGAGCACGCCTGGCCACTGCCTGTGCCCGAGCAGAACTCGGCGTCCCCGCTAGGAGAAGCAAGCATCTCCCTTCTCTGGCCAAGCAGTTACGTTCCTTAGTCCTAGCCATCAGACAATGTTTTGGAAAAAAACTGTCACTAGTTCCTACTCTTGTATATTTTGGTGCCTAAGCAAAGCTAAATTTGGAAGGGAGAAAATTTGACTTTTTTGTGCAGCAGGCTGATGTAAAAGGAAATATCAGCAACTCCCAAGAAGGGTGGAGTGCTTGGACAAGTCGAGGGCGCTGGGTGGGCGAGTGCAGGCCAGAGTCCCAAGGGCACAGTAAATGCATTTATGACATAGCTCTTTGATTTGTCTGGAGGCTGCTCCCCACTGCAGGTCACGCAGTACGACACTAGAAGTGCCTTTAGCAGAGCTAATTCACTGAGGACAACGGGGATCTGAAACACAGCTCTTCCATTTTTCAGCAGGCTGGCTCTCTATGAAGCTGAAATCCCCAAGCAGAACCAAAGGGATGTGCTTTTCCAGGCAGAGGACCACCCTGTGCCCTGCAATGGGTCTCCAAGTACACCAGAGAGATGCTCTTCACTCCTGCCAGAGCCAGCAGACAGCAGTGAGCCAAGGTGCCCACGGATTTCACACGTGGGTTTGTGACTTGTCCATGGGCAGTAAAATCATATTTGGTCTCTTTCCCACAGCAGTTTTATTTTTATATTTGTTCACAGGTGGCTTGAGAACATAACAAACAACATTTCAGCGCTGCTGGTTCTGGAAGCGAGAGGTGTGGGAAAAGCAAAGAACAAGGAGTCCACGGTCTTCGGAAGTACCACTAATATAGGTCATTTTCAATCTTGGAGCAAAATGCACTGTGGTTTACATGGTGGTAAACTTGGAGCAGAACCTGAAAAGCCCATGGGACTTCTAATGTATGTATGTGTATGTCAAATTTAAATTACAAACATGCACGCTGCTACAAGAAAGGCCAGCAGCTCTGTGAGAGAAGGACCAGCCCGCTCTCTGGCCAGTCCCCTAGAGATCAGCTCTGATGTGCTGACATCTTTTCAGATGTTTTTGGGAAAGCAGCTCTTGGAGAAGAGGTGGTGGTGTCTGGCAAGCTTAGGTGATTGTCATCTGGCCAGCTAGCAGGTGCCAAGGGAAAGCTGTCCTTTACCGTGACTGCTGCAAGCAGGCAGCAGAGCAGGGCAGGTTTGTCGCTGCTCCCAGGAAGCCGCCCCAAGAAGCAGCTTGCAGGGCAGATGGAGCCGGAGAGGAGCTCTGCTGCGGCAGGGATGCTCAGCAAGGTCACGGCGTGGCTGAAGCCTTGCTGAGCACCTCTGCCGGATCCTTAGCCCTGTCCACCCACCCATGGGAATTCAGAAAGGCGGCAGCCCCCTCTGTGCTGCTCCAGGCCCATTGACACGAAACTTTAATGGACGAACAAACAAAAACCTTTCAATGTCTTGTTGGCACTCTGCAGCAACCCCAGAGCCTCCGTCTCTTACCTAGCCTGCTGGGTGCTGGGAGGGACACGAGGAAGTGGGGCATGGCCAGTGAAATGCAGGGAAATGGGGAGTTTTAGAGTGACTCTGCTCCTTGCTTGAGCTTTTGTGCTGTTTTTCTCATGCCTCCTCTGCAGCAGCACCAACTGAGGAAGTTGGAGCACCAGCTTTGTCTCTTTTTACAGGTGACGGTAAATCCCACCATAAATCAGAAGGCCAAGTTTAAGGGCATTCCACAAAGACTCAGTAAAAATCTACGGGCATATGACAGTCTGGTGTTCATTGTTTCATCTCATGTTGCTGATGTCTGCCTAATGCAGCCTGACCCTTGGATGCCAAACCTCACTCTGTAAAATGCCCTTCTTCACCGCTACCCATGCCATCAGCCTCTGCTACAGCCACTGAACAAGATGCTCACAGCCCTGAGACAGTCAAGTAGGAAAAGGTGACCCAAAAGGGAAACAGCATCGCTGAAACCCAGAGCAAGCAAATTGAGAAAAGAAGTGGGAAAGATGGAAACAACCAAGGCTGGGGTGATGGGAGAAGTAAAAGAAATGATCTGGCCGTATTGCAGTATTGGTCCACAAGAGCTTTATCTCAAAAGCCTTTGTGCCCTCAAGAAACATCTCCACCCCTGCTTATCTTAAGCAAATGGTGGCAGAAAGCCTGAGCTGAACAAACAGGTTGTTAGGCCGCCAGTAGACGTCGGGAGCTTTGCTCCATTTTATTACACCCAAAGTTCAGGGTGGGATTTATTTTCGGAGGCAGTGGGAAGTGGGCAGGGCTGGGTTTATAGCAGCACTGAAGACACTGCCTCTGCAACAGCAGCGACAGAAATACTGTGACTGAAGGCAGGGCCAAAAGGTAAACAAATATTGCAGCTCCAGAAATGATCCACAGAAACCAGCCCAGAAACTCATAACATATCCTGATAAGGTTTCCATCCACCTTTATGACAGGTTGATCGCTGCAGGCCTGGAAAGCCAGGGACAAAATGGATCTATTTATTTAAATATGTTCAGCCAACGCTGAGCACGTTCAGGGTCAGGCTGCAAGGTGTGGACTAGGCGGTGCCCGCGTAGGATGAGCAGTTGGGGACATACCCCACCAGAGATGTTCCCATCACCTCTGTGGCCGGTGTTTGTCATCACCAGGGGCACTTTGAGCAAAGCCAGCTGCTGGGACATCACTTGCCGGTATCTCTTCCCCTTCCAGGAATTCCCACAAAGGTGGCCTGCCATCCACTCTCCTCTGACATGAGGGGAATTTTCTACCTCTTGAAAGAAGAGGGTTGTGGCACAACCCAAAGCCTTGACCTGATTTGGAAGCCATGGAAGAATACCAAACAATGGCAGGAAGGGGCCTGTAAATGATTTCCTCTCTGTTAAAATTTAAGTGATAAATCTGTTCCTTCAAATTTCAAACTATTCATTTTTCCTGGAAGGTGCTCACAATATTAGCTTATTAGATTATAGCTAATAATCACAATTATTAGCTTATTAGCTGATTATTAGAATCAGTCAGTGCTCCTTTTTTATCAGGACTCAAAGCCAACTGAATAGAAAGTGCAACGATTTCACACCGTGCTCCAAGCCCAAGGCAAAAGGTGGCTCAGTCGTTACAGCCCTGCGCTGTGGTGGCTCTCCCATCATGCAGCATGCACAGCACAGCACACATGTCTTCTGGCCACCTCCAAGGATGCTTCTTCAGTCTAAATTCAGCTGTTGGGTCGGCAAAGGTGCCTGTGTTTCCAGACACCCCAGGAGCACAGGTCTTCAGGCTTCACCGCCACCAAGCCCCGTAGCGACGGAGGAGGAAGGATGCTCTGCGGGACCTCAGGAATAGGACGTGCTCGCCTGATGAATCATGGCATGGTGCAACACGCCTATCAAATGGGAGGCATAGGAAGTTGTTTCTTGGGAGATGTCCCGGTTTGGAGGATTTCCTGATTAACTGCATCTTTGGGGAGTGTGCCATAAGTGTACATTGCCAGCAAAGGCTGAACGTGGAGCTGCAGCGTGATTCGGTGGTGAGCACCTCGGAGGAGACTCTTTTCCCAAAGAAAGGGTGGGGATACAGATGAGCAACGACTGTGATGGCAAACATGGTGACAGCTAAACACACTCCTTCCTTGGTTATCGTTAAAAGTACCAGGTCAATTTCCTACAGGGCTCTGCCCTCCCACATTGCCCCAAGGGTGCAAACTCCTGTAATCCCATTTGCTGAGTGTTAACGACAGTTTTTATGGCCCCTCTCTCAAAACTGTGGGCATTTTAATGAATTACAGTCTCTACACACGCAGAGTCCCAGATCTGAAGAAGCATCACTTCAACTCTGTCTCTTCCCACCCCTTTTCCCCAGCTTTTGCTATCAGCTCCCAGCAGAGCAAACACCCACTAGACAGACGATAGCGTAGACCCTGGCATTAAATACTTGGGGGCAGCTTCATCCCTCTGCAACCAGCCCTGGGATAAAACCAAAGACACAGAGAACGGCAGGAACAGCTTGGCATCAAGCTGCCCATGTGAGATAAAGGATGCAAATGTAATTAAAGCATTATAATAATTAGGCAAAGTACCTCCAGTGAAATGCACCTTGAACCTTCCTCAGTGCCATCTGCTGATGACTGACAGCAAGTTTTCTGGGCTCTGTTTTAAACACTTGGCCCCATAGCTCCTGAATTATATATAATTCTAAGAATTATATATAAAAATCTTGGAGAAATATATATAAAAACTTTGAAATCCTGCATAAAGTCTCCTCAGAGGAACCGCAGACACATAGTACCCACTGACACAACCGTGCTGGGCAGGGGCAGCAGCAGGAGCCATGGAGCGAGGTACACACTGGAAGCATTGATGCCGGGTGCTCCAGATGCACTGACACAGACACGTGGTGCCATAGGAAGAGTATAAAAAGAAATCCCCTTTGTTACCAGAATCCGCAAATCCAAAATCAGTCACAATCTGATTTAGGAAACTGAGTTTTTCCCATGTTAAAGCAAAATGGAAACAATACTTCATGAGTGGAAGTAACTTTAATTGTTTTAACTGATGTAATTTTAGTGTTGTTTAGGTTTATTGTTTATTTGTATGCATTTCCTCTAGCCTGGTCATGCTTAAAAACAAACCTTATTGTCAGCAGTAAAGCGTCCCATCCGTAAATAAATGCATTTATCCAGTAAATACAGATACAACCACAGCACTGCCTGGAATCCTTAAATGCAGAATATTTAAAGAATCAACATTAAAATAAACAGTGTTGGCGACCTGGGTTTGCTTTCCCCTGGAAATAAGAGCCTCTTTCAGCTATTATCGGGGATAAATGCTGCCTGCATCACATAGGCCCTGGTATTTGCCTTGTGGTCTGTTCAGCTCGCGCTGTGCAAACACTACAGCATCAAATTTGGCACTAACTGATGGTCTCAGAGGTTATGGATTCAACTTGCCCCGTTCCTGCTCCCTTCAACTGGGGGTTTGCCTGTGGGGATGCTGGCTGGCAGTGGCACTCTCTCTGACTGACCAGTGCCACCAATGCCACCACTGGCCAGCAGGCTCCACATTGTGCTGGGTGACAGGCACTAAGTTGCTCTGCTGCGGGCTGGAGAGCTTGGGGCACAGACTGGCTCCCGGCTTGCCCAGGCTTACCCTGAGAAAGGGCTGCACTGCTTGGAAAAGCCTTTCCTACATTTTGCTTGGTTGCTGCTAATTTGGGGGTGAGGGAGGAATTACTCTAGCTGGGACTTACAATGTTGTGATGTTGCTATGGGAATATTTGTAACTTCAGCTGAGACCATGCATTTCTTTAAAGTATACTCCTCCTCTGTATTTTTCACATTCACAAATCTGTTTTTCCTCATCTCTTGCCCCTTCAAAGCCTACAGCCCCCAGTCTGTAGACGTGGATGTGCTGATCCTGCCTCCCAGCACCTCCCCGCCATGCATCATGGGGCTGGTGGCACGAGGAGGACCTCCCTGATGGATTTTTTGTGATCTCTGAATGGATCCAATAGGACATCAGGGAGTTTTGCAGTAGGGCCCAGGTCACCTTCTACCCTGCAGAGTCTGTTGAAGCTCTGTGCAACCACCAGCTATTTTTTTTGGTACAACACCCTCTGGCAAAAGCAGTTTCTGCCCCATGTGCTCACCTCAGCATCACTCCCAAAAGAAGGTAGGGGTTGTACCCACGTATATTTTCATTTCACCCATATTATTAACAAAAGATTGCCCAAACAGACATGAAAAACATGCAATCCCCCAGAACCAAGTCCCTGCAAATCTACCCAACTTGGGTGGACCAGAGTTTTAGCTCATGCTCATGCAAACTCCAGTGGACAGTCCAGCAGCTATGAAGGCCCTCGATTGCAGACTGGTAACTTCATAACCTTACAGACAATAGGTGGCTGCTCTTTCCTTTCAATATGGTAGAGACTTTCTCACCATGCAGCCCTTGGCACTTCCCTTTGGAGGTGATCCAAACACACACTCTCACACCACCCTAAGATGGGAGGCAGCAGTTAATAAGTCAATGTGCATTTCTCTGCTCTGCTACCTGGAGAGGGGAGGCAAGTGGCCTCAGAGAGGTGGCTTGTCTCACCATCATCCTTATTGCTGTGATCCATGCACTCTGACACTGAAGTTGAGGGGAATTTCACTGCCACTTTCAATGGGGTCGTGATGGTGGCAGCCCCTTTTGGTCCACCAGGCCATAGCCCTTCTCGCAGGCTCAAAGATGGCACCTTCCTGGCTGAAACAAGCTGTGCAGAATATCAACAGCCTTTCCTTCTTCAAGGCCCTCGTATTGTGCTTGAAACATTTTCACACAATAGATATTCCTGTTTTCAGACTCCTATTCCCAAGACACAGCCAACACATTTTCCCTGGGACTATACCACAAAGAAAGAAATGCTTTTTCTCAATTGTCCGCTTAGTCCAGCTCTGTGGGAACAAGTGAGGACCTCATGTCACTGCCATCCTTGCTCAGAACATACCCCGGTGTGTAAACATTGATTTAATCCTATAAAAACCTCATTCTTCCCTTTGAAAAGTCCCACTCCTTTGCCCTGACCCTCTGCTAGCCTACTGGTACTTTGGACTTGGGCAGAAGAAACTGTTTCTTGAGTCTGCTCCCTCCCAGGATCCTCCCTTTATGCATCAAGCCCTCCAATTCCTCCTGCTGTAATGGGTCTTAATGCAGTGACAAGTACAGAAAACATTATGCACTTGCCACAGAGTATCAGTCATACCACCTCATTTATTAATTACACTGGTGGTTTTTAATAGGTGCTTTGCAGACCTCTGGGAGCCATGGACTACCTTTAACAGCAAAACGAGTACAAGTAGGCAAAGCAAGTTTGTAGCTGCGTCGCAGCAGTCTCAAATGTGACATTTGTAAATGGATCTGGCATTTCCACACAAAAAAAAAAAAAATCCTAAAAAATGGCTTCTTATCTAAAATCTACTAGAGGACAGGAAACAAGACAGCAGTATCTGCTCTCCCATGTCTTGCAAAGAATGAACCTCAACCATGACAACTCCAAAGACACAAGGAAACCTCATATTCTCCAGGCACCAGGCAAAGATCAGCCTTTCTGCCAGTAAAAACATGCATTATGGGTACTTTTGTGATGGCTGTCGGGAGCTGGGTGAAACCCGTTCAATTCATTTTGCATCGAACCAAGTTCCTCCAGGCTGTATTTCATCAGAACCAAGCGGGGACAAAGAAGAACCAGCATCAAAACATGGCAAACAAAGCATGCCACCCCTCCTTGCTGGGGTGTTTTTAGCTCCTTCACTTGGGTGTACGAGCCCTTCTTGTTGGCATGTGTGGTAGACAATACAGGGGCTCATTTCCAAAAGTTGGAGAGCTCTGAGAGATAGGTCACGGAGAGCTGTAAGAACCTTAAATTAGGTCGCTAAGTATTGTATCCAAACTGTTTTTAGACATCCTTGCCTCCATACATCTCTGCCCACTATGCACAGTTGCATGCAGGTAGAGGAGGTGCACGGGGTCCCTCCTCCTGCCCGCACCTCTGTTGGGGAGGCAGATAGCCCGGCGAAGTGGCATGGCTGTAGCCTGCCCTCCCGCAAATCAACTCATCAGATGTCTGCACGGGTGCCTGCATCTCCGCACTTGGCAGCCTCAGCCTCTCTCTCCTTATCAATGCCCAAAATATTCACTTAAGATCCATGGCCTTCCGCCAGCCAGAACACCTCATGAGGAGCACAAGCATCTCTTCCATGCCTCCAACAAACCAAAGGAACAAAAGCAAGGCTCTTCCTCAAGCACAAAATAAAAGTAATAATTAAAAAATAAAAATAATAAAAAAATCCCACCAGCTAAGAAAAGCTGGAGGTTAATATAAATTCCATGGGTTTGAGGGGGAAATGGAGCTGCATTCAAAGACTCGATGGCTAACCATGCTTCCTTCATCTGGCAACTGTGCGCTCCCCAAGCAGAGTTATTGAGGAAGTTAGACAAGAGCTATATTTGTTGCAGCTGCAGATTTCCCTTAACCCCTGGTAGCAGTGTTTTCAAAAAAACAGAGCTTGTTTTCCGATGCTGGCTTTTCATTTTCATGCATGCCACGGCCACAGCTATTAGCTTTAATCACTGCCATGCATAGATTAAAAATAATGAAAAAACCTTTGCCATTCTAAGAAGTCCAGGCTGGATGAGCAAAAGGGGGATTAAAACAAGGTTTTCAGGAATTAACTTGAAACAGGAAAGAAGAAGATAAAGCCATTATAAAAGCTTGCACTAATACAGGAGTCCTTTTTGTTGTAAGTGTTAATGCAGCCATGCAAATTCCTACCAAGATTTATTAGTTGGGTCATGTATCTGCCTTGCTTCCTCTCCTGATGATAAAATCAAGGCTCTTTCACTCCACTAGAATGCTTCTTTCTCCCAATTAAGAGGAAAAAAATTGTATATCTTTTTCAAGACTGTGTTTATGGTATGCATAAGACTACCTGTGAGGCTGACACCTTCAGAAAAATGAAATACAGATACACTGCCATCAAGATACCTGGTTAGAGAGTAAATTGCTATGATTCTCCTCAAAAGGCGAGTGTGCTGCTTTTGGTACCGTCCCCTTCCATCATCTCCATCCTGCCAGAGCGCTGGCGGTCCCAGAAAGGCGCAGCACCCCACTCTCTCCTGACTGCCTCTGTGGGCCATCAGCTCAGTAGAGCACCTACTTTACCCAAACCCACTTCCAAGTCTGCTGTTTGCCTTGGCCCTTGGCCAGCAAAGCACTTAGGCACATGCTTAAAGTTAAGCACAAGAGTAAACAGTTTGAAGTCAGTGGGACTTAAAATTAAGCACATATTTCAAGGATTTGCTGGATAAGCGCCTTAGCCCGGTGTGCCACGTTTAACTTGGATGATTCTGGGCTTACTGGCTCCCTCTTTCCCCGACCGCTCTCCATCAGACCAGGCAACAAACCATTTCTGTTTTGCCACCACGCTAGAGGCTGGCTTTAAAGAAACCTTGTCTAGCCTACAGGCAGAGTATGCCTTTCTTTAATTATACCTGCCTGTAAAATACCTTCTAGAAATCCCCACCCAAACAAAGCCTCAGGAAAGGAAATAATGGAAATTCTTGATGGTTTCCACGGGGGAAGTGATCCCAACCAGGTGCACGTAAGATGAGGCTGATGACTGTTCCTACTGTACGTAACTCCCAGCCCACGGACACTCCTTAAAGGACCAGGAGAAACCCCATTACCATCCCGATTTCCCAAGGCAGAAGAAGCCTTGAAGCTGGCCTCTGGCTCCATGAATGTTCAGATCCTGCCTCACCACTCTGAAAAGCCTCTCAGTGGACACATGGGGAAAGAAGAGACACGAAATCCATGAGACTATCTTGCTTGTCCCTGTAGGGAAATGCAGCACCCGATGATCAATCTTCCAAGAGGCCATGCAGCTTCTAAAGGGCTAGAAGTCTCCCCCAGACTCCTGCTTGATTCTCTTTGTCTTCCATGCCCTTTCACATTAACTTTTATACTCTTTTTCAATTGCATCTACGCTTGCTAGGGCCTCGGTGGCTGAGGGCAGGTGTGCAGTACTGGCAGAGACAAAGCCCTCCTGCACAGAGGTAACCACTCCAAACAGGCAGCACAGAAGGACGTGGAACACATGGGCAGAGGAGACGAGCAGAGGACTAGAAACTTGGACACAGAAGATGAAGATTC